TTGGCGCAGTCGGCAGGATTTGATTGGGACTGGTGTAATTTTTTTGTGTGTGTGCAACATGACATCATGACTTTGCGTAAACATACACGCCACTTTCAATTCAAGTGGCGTGTTATCTATACGCATTTTGAGCTATCCGCGTGTATGTCCACGCCGAAATCTTTTGCGTGTATGTCTACGCCATTAAATGTCCGAGTGATTCCGCGTGTATGTGTACGCCGTTAAATGTCCGAGCGAAACGAAGCAAAATCTATATCTACATCTGTGGAGCGATATTTCTTTTCCTAGGATGGTAGGAGAAGACTCATAAATGGAATTAACCCCAGTGACGGGTAGGTTTAGGGACGGGGTTGAGGTAGGTCATATATTTATATATACATAATACATTAATATAACGGTAAGTCAAAGGCGTTGATAAACACGCTGAAAAGCGATTATGCGTGTTGATAGCACGCCAAAAATGGAAATACGAATTGGCGTGTCATACATACGCCATTTCATGAGATCAGTCTGGTGTGTGTGTGTGTGTGTATGTGTATGTGCATGTAATGAGTGCAGGTAGAGTACAGGAAAAGCAGTGGTTGAGGATTGGGCCTGGACAGCGGTTCTGCAAGTGACAAGTGGGTTGTATTTTAAAAAAAAGAAAAAGAAAAAAAGGGGAAACAAATTATTAATTTTTTTTTTCCCTCCTGGCTTTGTTCGGTTTGAAATGTCTCAGGAGCTGAAGGAACGGGTCGGGCAGCTAATGGAGCAGATTAAGCAATTGCAGGTTGACAATGAAAGGCTACGTCAGGGAAATGTAGCATCTGATGGGGCTCTAGAACAGGGAGAGCAGAGTCAGCAAGAGTCAAATCGCCATGAGTCTTCTGGATTGAGGTATGTGTATGTTCCTAGATAACGTAAATATCCCAGGTTCACTGGTAGTTCAGAGTCTCCTCCGGTGGAAGAATGGATTGAGGAGGTTCGTCGATGTTTACAGGTTAGGCATATGTCCATAGGTGAGCTGGCGCGTTTCGTGTATGACCTTCTGGATGGGGAGGCAAAGCTAGAAATTAAACTCCATCCAGCTTCAGTTAGATCCGAGCCTGAAAATATTTTCTCTATACTGACTGAGACTTTTGGCTGTAGCCAGTCTTATATTGACGCTCAACAAAAAAATTTCCAATGTCGTCAACGAGAGGGAGAAACGTTGCGTGAATTTTCACACTCAATGTCACTTATGGAAGTTGCACAACGTAAAAATACAACTGCAATTGATCAATTTGCAGAAAACGTTAGAGACAAAATGCTGCATAGAGAATTAAAACAATACATCCACCTTAATCCTGATTCCTCCTTTTTGGACTTGCGTCGTGAGGCATTTTGCTGGGCCGATGATGGCGAGGGGCCTCGTCCTGTCCGTGCAAGGGCTTTTTCGTGTGACGCTAGTTCAAGGGTAGTGGGAGCGTGGCAGGCAGAATTCCAGGTCGTTTTAGCACAACCAAGTAATGAATTGACTGAGCTCAAAGACTGTTTGCGTAGGCAGCAGGCCCAATTAAATACTATTCTTAAACATTTGTCCCCTGGCTCAGGGCCATCCAATCTACCAAATAGGCAGACTAATCATCAGAGGCGGTTTCGTTTTGATGTGGATGGCAGACCTATTTGTCTACGTTGTGAGCAGGTAGGCCACATGGCTAGGGATTGCCCGGTGGGCTCACGGCAGACACAGCATGTGGGGGTTGGGTCCAGTCCACCCGTTGGGAACGGAAGGGATGACTCTTCCAGCAGGCAACAGGGAAACTAGCACCCTCTAGTGCATGGAGCCAAGCACTAGAAGGGGGTTTGATGGGCTCAGACTCGTTTACATCTCTTTTTTCCTGTCCTTCTGCATTGGTGGGCGAGTGTCCCATGGCAGATGTTCAGATGGGCGGTGTAACTGTTACTTGTCTTATAGATACCAGTTCTATGGTATCTACCATCACAGAGTCCTTCTTTAATAACCATTTCCGAGTCCTGGGGTGTGACCAGCTACGTTCCTGTGGTTGGTTACAGTTAAAAGCGGCCAATGGCCTAGATATCCCATATCGAGGTTACTTAGAATTGGATGTAAAAGTCTTAGGAAAAGTTTTTTCTTCCATAGGCGGTGGTTCAAGATCCACCTGAGTCCAGACTTAAGACAAACAAGGACTCTGTCCCAGGATTGATTGGGATGAATGTCTTCCGTTGCTGCCTGCAATAGTTTTTTTTTGCCAAGACGGTGCAAGTTTGTTTACTTCTTCCGGGTTAACAGTCCCTGCCGTTTGGGAACATGCCTTATTAACGTGTCAACGCCTCGAGGAGTTTTCTACGTCTGGTGTTCTAGGCAGGGTTTTGACTGCCCCTGGGTCCTCCATCTGTGTTCCAGCCGGATCTTTAAAGTTTGTGTCAGCCACCTGTAGGCAGGGGCTTGGCCCATCAATTCCTTCTGTACTGTTAGAACCAGTAGGGGCAGGGTGGCAGTTGCCACCAGACTTAATTGTCCCAATCTCATTGCTCCCCATTGGAAATGGTACAGCACAAGTGCCAGTTGTTAATGTGGGCCAGGTAGATCGGTGGATAAAACTACGTACCCTGTTGGGGGAAATGTACTTGATCACTGCACGTTCCGCTAGCAAATCCATCTGCTTTCAGGAAGAAAATGGCACCCAAGGCCCTGTCGCGTTCATTCGGTCAATGGAGGCTCCCTTGTGAAAAAGAAGTGTGCTTAATTGTATTGAAAGCATACTTTTTGTGTGCTTAAACTAATAAAAGTATACTTTTTGAAAAGTGTACTTGCAGATAATATAATATAATTAAAATTAAAGACCACTTAAGTGTATTTAAAGGGAATACACTTTAATGACAATATTTATTAACTCACTTAAGTGCACTTTTTACAAATGCACTTTGTAATAATATCTAATTAAGTTTAACTTAAAGTAAGTACACTTTCATCACAATATTTATAAACACACTTAAGTGCACTTTTAAAAATGCACTTTGTAATAATATGTAATTAATTTTAACTTAAAGTAAGTACACTTTCATGACAATATTTCTAAACACAATTAAGTGTACTTTTTAAAAATGCACTTTGTAATAATGTCTAATTAAGTTTTACTTAAAGAAAGTACACTTTCATGATCATATTTGTAAACACACTTAAGTGCACTTTTTACAAATGCACTTTGTAATAATATCTAATTAAGCTTAACTTGAAGTACACTTTCATCACAATATTTCTAAACACACTTAAGTGCATGTTTTAAAACAATCACTTTTTAATTGTGTCTACTTAAGTTTGACTTAAACATACATTTTAAATAATTATGATTTTATAGTGTTTTAAATTTATTTTTATAGTGTTTTTAAGTTATTAAATGAAATTTATTTTGATGTATTGACTAATATACTAAATAAAATAATAATTTTAATGGAAAACATGGAAAGTAATTCAATTTAATTTCAACTCAAGTGTGTTGTCCAAAAATAATTTGTTCATATATTTTAAATGTGTTTAGTCTATAATATATACTGTGTGCATTAATATTGAACAAAAATATTGACTTTTAGTTAGGTGAAAGAGTAAAGTTTTGTGAACTTACAGAGTCTAACAACACAATGAGTTAGAACAAATTCAACTTAAACAGAAAAGCTGAAATAAAAATATACTCGATACGAACATGGTGTTTAATGCGCATGCGCCAGAAATACTACGTCATGATGACGCACTACTTCACTAGAGTTTGAAAAATGCGCTGTTATTAGGGGTGTGACGAGATCTCGTGCCACGAGATCTCGCGAGACTAAATATGACGAGATTTCTCGTCGAGTGAAAAAGCTGTCTCGCGATATCCCCATTAATATTCCACCGCTACACTCACATTCGCCTAAACTATCGTTTTGTTGTTTTTATAAAAAAATAAAAACCATTATAAACTAATGCAAAAGTCTGCTCTGCTCATCCAGCACGAGTTGCCGTTGCAATCAGTGCAGCACGAATCACAGTTCACTGATCGCATGACGATGGCGGAGGATTCGTTGCGCAACAGACTAAACGTCTGGTAAATGTCTTATCATTTAGAATGCGCGCTCAGCACCGCTGCTCCCTATACGCGCGGTCACGAATTTGTAAGTGAAAGTAAAACACAAGCTCCCTGATGTGCATTGCGCACAAATTAGGCTGCATACATAAAATAATCCGTCTCCCAATACCCATCTCTGGACTGTTTATTTGCGGCTCTGGTCTCTGTTGGCACTGCGAATATTGAGAGAGCACTGTAACGTACAAAGGACAACAGACAAGGGAGGCTCCGTTTCTGAACTTATAATCGGAACGCAAGAACAACTGTAGAGACAAACAGCCTCGTTTCTCTCGGCCTTTTCCGAACTCACCGCATTAACCCTATAACTGCCGGTGCAAAATAAAACCGCAATTTCACAACAATTATAAAGAGTCTGTGTGCTAACTTTGATTATGGTTGCACTCGCACTTATTGTTTGCACTTAATAAGACTAAGAGAAAACAGTTATTTATTTTTGTTATTTATACGGTTTTTATTTCTCTGTTAAATGTGTGTTAAAAGGAGTTCAGTTAGGAGGTCACACACAGCCTCAATCAGAAGTTCTGAAAGCTCTTAAATGTACAGTAAGGTCTGAAGAGACTAATGTGAAATTATACAGGAGAAAAGCCAGTCAATAAAAACCTTTTACAGTGCTTGAATATTGTTTTCTTTCAATGCATTTGATAATTCATACTCATAAAGTAGACCTGAAATGACATGCATTAGAAGATTATTAGTTAAAACATTGAAAAATGCACCTGCATACTATTTTTCCAGCCATGAATTTTGTCATTGAGGATTTCTGAAAAATTGTGCAAAAATCTCGTCTCGTCTCGTTCTCGTGAACCCAATCTCGTGTCTAGTCTCGTCTCGTGAGATAAGCGTCTCGTCACACCCCTAGCTGTTATGTTTCTGTAATGGCGGTGCATGAGGAAACTGAAGCTTCCCAAACAAGAAGAGAACAAAAGGAGCGCCACGTTTGGCTGTTTGCAGATGAGATGTTATACTGCAAATAATCAGTCAAGTAAGTATATCTTGATGCTTTCTTTATTGAATTTTTTTTCACCGCAGTTGATATTGCGATTAAGAGTGCTTTTTAATCGCAGATAGTAACGTTATACGCAATAGATTCGGGAGGTAAATTAATCATGTTTCCAATAATTTATCTATGATTGCATTCAAATAATGTCTTACATCGTAATGTGCTCGGGTGTGTGGGCGTGTTCGAGGAATTTGTCTACTGAAATGTGTTTTTTTTAAATATATTTATTCATTTATTTATTTTTACTAAACCGACTTTTTAAATAATTTTAAACAAACTAAATGAGTATGACTTAAAGTTAAATTTGCATGCTGAATGCTGATCCAATATTGTAACTCTCAAAGACATTTATATATTAATCAATCTTAACCACCATACATATTTAATACATCACCCACCTCTAGAAATAATGCTTGTAACGTTAATGTATTTCATTTCGTTTTGCATTTGAAGAGTGAGTTGTTCAGTTACTATTTGTTTTGGAATATGTAATATTTTTGTGCTTATCTGGATTAAACATTCATTTTGCAGGATCAGTTCACATTTGTTATTGGAGATACAGGGCAAGCGGTGTGGAATCACAGACCTGTATTGATGAGGTGATGTTACAAGATTTATTATGAATTTTTGCCCAGCCAGCACACCTCTATCAAGCTAAAACACTGCTATCAAGTCCCTAACTATCCCTATAGCTTTTAATGCTTTGAATCTTTTCCATTTGCAAGTAATACATTCCCACCTGTGCATATGCCCCTATAATCATCATATATTTTACAGGTAACAAACCAAATGAAGAAGGCTGCCGCATTACTGTGTCAACCGTGGTAAATACAGGAACATCCATTCCTTCATGAAGATACTAAGATGCAAGCTTAAAATTCAAGATTACCTTTCTCAATTTGCATGGGTCTTGGGTTTGCATGGGTCATTAACCTATATTTGTGTAATTGATAAAGTTATGTTTAATTCCTTTTAAAGTAGCAAAATAAATGTTCTCTATTTTTAATTACTTTAAGCCCAGTGTCAGTGAAGATGGCGTGGTCAGTGCAATCATGGTGCTTGTGGGAAATAGAGGAACCTTGCCCAGCTTTCTACTACGGTGTGACCCTGATGAGGTAATTCATCACATCACACATTCATCAACAGTTAGCAGTCAAAAGTTTACGTACACCTTGCAGAATAAACTGCTTCATCAGGGTAGTACTAAATAAAAAGACAACATATACATTTTTGTGTTCCCTCTTATTGCTAAAATAAAGACTAAAATACTGCAAGGTGTATATAAACTTTAACGGGAAAATATCTATCACTTTCATTCATTTGAGCCAAATATAATAATGGACTCGATATGTTTTATAAACAAATGTTTTCATTCACTTTTTTTTCCCTCAAGGTATTTTTTCTGACTTTCCTGCCTCTTTGGAACAAATCCATTCACATTTACTTTGGAGAGCACCGGGACATTGACATAAACAGCACTTTCCAACTACTTCAAAACATTTGGTGACAAGACAAATGATTTTGGTTTTCTTGTTTTTGTGCCTTTAGATTTCTTCAGTTTTAGTTTTTTTGTTTTTAGACAAACTTGAAAAGGTTTAAGAGCTAAAATTAACAAGGTTCGGTAACACTTTAATTAGGTCTCATTTGTTAATATTAGTTTATGTATTAGCCAACATGATCTAAAAATGTGCATATTTTTACAGTATTTATGAATCTTTGTTAATATTAGTTAATTAAAATATAGTTTGTTAAAGTTAGTTAATACAATTTATAGTCATTGTTCATGCGAGTTCACAGTGCATTATAATTTTAATACACAACTTTTGAATATAATAATGCATTATTAAATGTTTAAATTAACATTAACTAAGACTAATAAATGCTTAAAGTATTATTCATTCTTAGTTCATGTTAACTGAAGGAGTTAACTAATAATACCTTTTTGTAAAGCATTACCCGTTTGAATCTTAGTGTTCACATTTTGCAGTAGAACGTCACATCACATTTTGTTTGTATTACAGTTTTTCTCGATTGCTTAAACACTATAACCAGGCTTTTAAACTAAAATTTCAAAACCATAATGCCATTTATCAAAAAGCACACCCATTTCACTGAACTATGAACACTATTCCCCTGTTTTGACACATTAGTCAGATTTGTTGAACTGTCACAGCAAAACTCTACACACACATCCCTTCATTTCTCATTGCCTACACCACGTGGTCATTTAGAAAGCACTAGCATTCAATATTGTTCACTCAAGTCAACTCAGCTTCAGCTCAGTTAGCACACAATTACCCAGGTGAAAACACTAAGAGTCAAAATTGAACACACATCAGTCAGATCCTTCAATAGATAGATAGATAAAAGGTTATACAATCTTTTATAAAAGATAAAAATCAGTTTACTTAGTTTTGGAACAATGGATCCACAGAGAAATTAAGCAATAGGTCGAGGAGGGAGAGGAAGAGGAGGGAGAGGAGAAAGAGCAGGAGGAGGAGGGAGAGGAAGAGGAGGAGGAGGAAGAGGAATAGGAGGAGGAAGAGGATGAGGAAGAGGAAGAGGAGGAGGAGGAGGAAGAGGAATAGGAGGAGGAGGAAGAGGAATAGGAGGAGGAAGAGGAGGAGGAGGAAGAGGAATAGGAGGAGGAGGAAGAGGAATAGGTGGAGGAAGAGGAGGAGGAAGATGAGGAGGAATAGGAGGAGGGAGAGGAATAGGTGGAGGAAGAGGAGGAGGAGGAGGAAGAGGAGGAGGAATAGGAGGAGGGAGAGGAATAGGTGGAGGAGAAGAGGAGGAGGAGGAGGAAGGGCAAGGGCAAGAAGACAAGCAGTCTCGGATGAAACTCAAGCCACTTTAGTTGGCCATGTCCTTGTCCATGGTATGACTAAGGGAGGCTGCGCAACGAGTACAGCCAAATTTGAGTCGCTTCACCGTCGCCTCCATCATCAGATCCTTCAGGGAGGTGTGGTGGCAAACAGATTTCTATCACTGAATAAGAGACAAACATTTCCAATTGTCTTTGATGAGGTTTATGTTCTTGCAAGAAAAGGCCAGCAGTCGTACAGTCACACGGAGTGGCTGCAGAGTGTGACAGTGAAGAGGGCATCCTTCCCCATTTATAGTCTTGACTCCCAGAATGTTATCTTTCTAGGCCAATGATGGTATTTCAACCATATGTGGAACATTCTTAGACTTGTTCATCATATTGTATCCTTGAGTGGAGGCATGTACCAACACTCTTTACCATTCCAATACTTTGAACCATATTTGAATTAGGTTTGTGTGCTCTTTTACTGTCATATGATGCTCACACACATCTTGAGTAGAAGCGAGTAAAAAAAAAAAGATGGATGGACCACAAGCAACATGACTTACCAGTTTTGGAAATGTTGTTTTGAATTTATAGCACCAGTGTGTAAGACTATGTTGTAGTGTGTGTATTTCTGAGGGCTTGTGTGTCCTGTCTGAGGGCAAAGTTTGGTTTTTCAGCAAGAGTGAATGGTTTTGAGTGTAGAGCTTCATTTTGACCTGAAAATAGGATGTTTGGAGAATTGGGTGAGACGTTATGGATTTGTGTTTACTGTTTTGAGAATACGAGGCATAGTTTCAAGAAATGTGTTTAAGCAATCGAGAAAAACTGTAATTCATGGGTTGTGTGTTTGATGTACTGTGTGTTTGCTTCTAAAATGATGTTTGTACTGGTAATCCCTAGGTTATGGGGACCAAATTACCCCAAAAGTATAGTAATACCAGTAAATTACATGGAAAGAATCTTATAAATCATACAGAATGGTGTTTTCTGAAAATGTAAAAACACAAAAATGTTTTCTGTGATGATAGGTTTAGGTTTAGGTACCTTTGTATGAGGGAGAACATGATTGTGCATATAAGCATCATTGCCCTCCAGACTCTTTCTAAATTAGAGTTAAAGGGATAGTTCACTTTAAAATGATAATTCTGTCATCATATACTCACCCTCAACTTACACTTAAGTGATCTTATGAATCACTGACAACTCTTAAATAACTGGTTTGTAAATAATGCTATACTTAATTTAGAAATTATTAATTGATCATTAACAAAGTATGAAAATATAATTATTAAACACATTATAGATATGCTTATAAATCAAGAAAAAGCATTTATAGCTGTATTTATAAACTTCTTTTTAATGTCTATTAATGCTTTATAAATGATGAATTAACTGTTAACTCATGCTTAACTAATGATTAATAGTGTGCAGTTATTATAAAGTGTTACCTTTTTTTTCTTCTGCTGAACACAAAGGAAGATATTTTGAAGAATGTCAGTAACCAAACAGTTAACTGGTCCCATTGACTTCAATAGTAGGAAACATAATACCATGGAAGTCAATGGGACCAGTTAACTATTTGGTTACTGACATTTTTCAAAATATATTCGTTGTGTTCAGCAGAAGAAAAATTCATACAGGTTTGAAACAACTTGAGGGTGCGTATATAATGACAGAATGTGTCATATGTGTCAAAGTGAACTATCCCTTTAAAGTGTTGTAACTGTTTATGTATAGTATTTCTTGTTTTTTTTCTTGTGCACCAACAGAAAGGTTTTTATGTATTTATTTTAGAGATTGTTTTGTCAGTAAATGTAGAGGGTTTTAAATTGAATTTGTGTTGATTGTAGCTAGGTTAAGACTTTTTTTTTTTGTCCAAATTTGAAAATATTTGCAACTATTTTTTTTTAATTACAAATGTATTTAATTATATAATAGTGTACATGTATATTACATTAAAGTATATTTTAGTTCACATTAATTGCTTGTCAGTATATTTGGAAGTACACTTTTACCATATTTCAAAGTTCATATACAAATGTATTAAAATCCCACTTAATTTGTTCCAAAAAATCACTCTTAATATCAACTAATAGCATTTAATTTGAGCTTAATCTGTGATACATTTGAAATCAATTGCATATAATATGCAATAAGTTTGTCGAAAACATTACACTTAATTCACATTTAAGTGTATTGTTAACTGACATTAAAGTACATTTTAGTTTACATTAATTGCTTGTCAGTGCATTGTGTAGTGCACTTTAAATACCGTATTTTCGGCACTATACGGCGCACCGGATTATAAGGCGCACCTTCAATGAATGACCTATTTTAGAACATTTTTCAAATATAGGGTGCACCGGATTATAAGGCGCATAAGATACTGCAGTCAAACGTTTGACTGGGTTTGCGTTATGCATCCACTAGATGTCAACAAATGTCAACAAAACAGTCAGATAAAGTCAAACTTTATTAAGCGTTCTGACAACTCCGTTCACTCCCATGGTAACGTTGTTCAAACGTTAAAGGAAAACTCCGGCCAATTTTAACATTTAGCTCATTTTTTGTAAATTTGGAGTGCTGTCAGTACAGAGAACAACGACAAAAACCGGTGTTGCCTACACCGTGTTATCCTCTTTTTAAAATTTGCACCCTGTTGACTTAAACGGGAAAAGTTTTAAACCTGCTTTTAGCCTCTTAACAACCTTAATGTGTCATTACAAGTGCACAGCCATGTGAGTGAACACAGTGAATCTGACTCCAGTAAATGTGAAAGATATGAATAAAAATGATGTTTATTCAGCCAGCTCACATACCCGTATTTTCTTTCTGTTTTCGGTCGAAGTCCACAGTAGGCGATTGTCGAGTGCGCGCGCGCGATCATTGGTAACTAAGCAACAGTGGAGACTCAGACTGTCAGCCAATGACGGTGCTGTGTGGTGTTCTCTATGTGAGAATATCAGCTCAAATGGATAGTTCGGATTCGGATAGTTCATCCGAATCAGATGTTGAACACGTGGAGGAGGTTTGATCGCGCGCGCGCGAACTCGACAATCAACTACTGTGGACTTCGGCCGAAAACAGGAAGTAAATACGGGTATGTGAGCTGGCTGAATAAGGAGATTATTCCTGCCTGCAGCCTTCGTAAAAGCTCGGATCACAGGAGACTGATATATCAGCCCAGGCATCCACGATCCATTGCCAGATAGTGGCGTAAGACGGCCGGCGCTGTCTCCG